GCGTGTGAGCGTGTGAGCGTGTGAGCGTGTGAGCGTGTGAGCGTGTGTGCGTGTGTGCGTGTGTGCGTGTGTGCGTGTGTGCGTGTGTGCGTGTGTGCGTGTGTGCGTGTGTGCGTGTGTGCGTGTGTGCGTGTGTGCGTGTGTGCGTGTGTGCGTGTGTGCGTGTGTGCGTGTGTGCGTGTGTGCGTGTGTGTGTGTTTTTGCATGGAACAAGTACCCCAGAATGAGGGGGTGCTTTCGAAGAACGTTCCTGTTGTGTCAGGTTGCAAAGCGTGGTATTCCAGCCGACTACTTTCACAACTTGAACAGAAGCCATCGTCCCCGGAACTGTGCAAACACTTTCTCAACATGAAGGTTTGGGCCACATGCAGCCAGTTGGCCCAGCTTCCCCTCTTCGCTTGCCTGGGGGCCGCCGAAAGTCTTGTCGATGTTGGCCAGGGCAGTGTCCCAGTTCACCTCACGCCAGCAAGTAGCGCACTAGCACCAAATGCAACAGCCCACTGCCTGGCTGACTGGAAACATGCCCACAAAAGCTTACATGATACGTAAGCTCTTGAAAGGCTAGCCAATCTTCAACCTTGCTTGTGACAATATCACCTCCAAAGGCTCCCCAAATCACAAAAAATGCCAAGTACTGCCAACCTGTTGAAGTGCTTCAACGTGTTTCATCCTTTTTCGGGGCAAAGGGGCCGTGCTCATAGGTGTCCTTTTAGGTTGGAAACAGATGGCCCTGGCCCTGGTAGATGATTAATTAAACCACCAGGTAAACCAGGAATCGCCATCGATTTTTCCACCAAAAGAACCAAAAAGGACACCCATGGCCACCGCTTCGTCCCTTCGTCCCTTCGTCCCTTCGTCCCTTCGTCCCTTCGTCCCTTCGTCGCCTTGGAGAAGAGCTCCTCCACGTTGCTCTGCTTCGCCACCAGCAGCGCGCGCTTGCCGTAGGGCACCGACTTGAAGAGCTCCACGGCGAGGCCTGGCCATGCGGCAAGGAGATGCCGCCGCATGGCCACGTCAAAACAAATACCCGAACCACTGACCTGCCCTCTCTTGATGCTTTTGGTTCTGGAATGCCCTGGAAAAAAGAAGAATGTCACTGAAGCCAAGAGCGACGTCATGTGCGAAGGATACCCACAAATGGTTGCTTCTATCTGGTGCCATCGGTGGTTGCGACCCTTGTGTGCTACACAGCTGTTCATGATTCGGTGGATGGTGGGTTATCAATTGTCCATGTGCATTTGCCAATCCTGTTGGTGGTGCCGCACGGAGGAAGAGTCCCCCAACGAACTGCTTCTTGAAGCCATTGAGCATGCACGGACTGGTGCAAGCACCAACAGCAACTCAACATATACCCAAGATCCTTCACTTTCTATTTTTTGAAAGGATGGCCTAGAAACGTGGTTGGCACGCCATTGCATGTGCTTGCGGCACAAAGATGACTCGCTGAGTTGATCGGAAAAGATTAGTCTGTCTGGGCTCGTTGCCAAATGATCAGGGACAGACCGAATCTCAACAAATCGCAAGTGTTTGCCGATTGAACAGGCAAGCTTTCCGGTCCAGAAAGGGTGCCATCATCAGTCCTCCTTGCAAGCTACCCAAACCCAACACATTGGAGTCAGAGATAGTGTCCAAGACATATCGGTTCCGGGGAGCAGCTTGAGTGTGAGCCACCACTGCAAAAGGCTTGGCAATCCCAAAGCAACACCGTGCTCCCACCTCCGGGGCTCATCTCGGCGGCCAGCCAGACCCAGCCCTTGCCGTCATCCACCACCTTCTGCGTCTCATCCACGCCGTAGCCCACGCCGGCCTTGGTCACGAACCTGGGATAGGCGCGTGGGTTCACAGACCTCAACACTGACATCTGATGCTTACACGTAGTTACTCAGGTCCTTTTCGAGGAATCATCTCTGGCATCCCTAAGCAACGATCATGGCACAAGTGCCTGGAAAACGGTGCGATACTTCAAGAACTTGCCCACCCGAAGTCCGAAGTCCAAACTCCCCTCCGACTGTCCTTGCTCACACCCGAAGTTCAAGATCTTCCTAAACCAAGAACAAACCGCAGGGCAGACTTCAAACTATGCGCCTGGGCTTTGCACGGTGGCCTTCAAGGCCAATGCCTGCCGAATTCCCTTTGCTTCAGAGAAAGCGACATGGGGTTCGCCATCTGCTGCTTCAACTTCTCCACGCCAACGGCAATGTCCTGAACATCGGGTGCTTTGACAAACCTTCTTACTCGTGCCCTTTAGCGGCACTGTGCCCTCTTCTCTCACACCCGGCTGCACCTTCTTGCCGATGTTGCCAGGAGGAGGGCCCTTCCAAAGGCCGGAGTAGCGCTGAAAGCCCTGGGGTGTGAACTCGCCGTGGAAGAACTTCACAATGAGCTCTGAGAGCACGGTGCCCTATGCGCTATCAATAGCATCTCAGCAACAAGCGACAAGCAAACAGAATGCACAGGCAGCTCCGTTTGTAAGCTAACAGCCGCAAACATTGCAATTGCGTGGCGGTCAGCAACGCAAGCACATCATGACATCAGGTCAAATCCGACCTCAGCAACAACTTTGTTGCGGTGCGTGTCGCCTTGGCAGGGTCGCCGCCACTGCCAGTCAGCAGGGACTGATAGAAGGCCTCGATGTCTGCATCACCTGTGTGCAGGAGAACCAAAAAAACTTTCACTGGACGATCCAAATCCTTGGAGCTGAAACTTAGCACCCACACGTTTCAAGTAGACCACCATTGAAGTTGGACCGTTGGATAGAGTTGGCTGTCTTTGACCCAAAGCCTCCAATGCGCACATGGGCACAATATGACTTGATCTGGTTGGAATCCTACCATAAAACGCCCTGGCATCAAATCCAAGGCACACTATTGAGGTACCCTTTCCCTCTGATAATAAAACACACATTTTATTGCTACGTGTGCGTGGTCCTGCTTCCCACTTGAAGTGTGGAAGAGGGCCCCGCTTACCGTCTACAAAACAAATGAACAAAATGCGGTTGGCAAGTCCAGAGTTCAAGCTGCAGAATATGGACTCGCTGTTGAGGAAGTGTAGACTGGTTTGGTTCCGGTTTAGTCTTGGTTCAAAAGGCTCCCCATAATGCAACTGGAGCTGAAGTCAGCGGGTAAATCGCTGGTTTAGTCTTGGGCATTGGGCTCTTGGAAAACAATTGTTGCCAGCGGGGAGACTGTGCGTCGTCAGACACCGGGAGCCGAGAGAGAGAGAGAGAGAGGGGAGAGAGAGCATCACAACTTCATCCTAGCAATACTCAAAACTCCCTAGGTTGGAAGGGCGGAACTGGACATCAATCTCTGTGGGGTATTGCAATGGCTTGTGGCGTTCACGAATTCTCCCCATTTCCGGGACAATGTCAAAGACATCGCTTCAATCACAGTTGCGTGTGCGTGTGTGCGTTGGACAAATCAACTGAAAGCTGCATTGTTAAACTTCTTCCCAGACCTCAGGCGGAGTCCAAGTGACCGTCGACGTATCGACGTGCGATAGTTTTGGGTAGCTACTCCATCCCAAGGCAAGTGTCCACCTGAACCTGTCTCATGGGCGAGCCAATGTCGAGGTTGCTATAGCTTTTTAGTAGAAGTTGATATTGGAGAGGATGCTCTGACAGCCTATTTCCTGCTAGCCTTAAATCTCGAAACCCCACAAAGTCAAAAATAGTCTCTGTACACGCAGGATGCCATCAACAGCGAAGCCTGAGCGCGAAAATGATCCGCTTGTCAGCTTTCAACGCAAGCCGGCCAAAAGCAACTCATTTTTGGTTGTGCAAAGATAGTTGTACAGGTGTATATAGGATACCCTACTGAACCAGGTCCAACTAAATCAGCACTGAAATACGCCTGCCTAATGCTAAGCACACTCTCTCAAGAGCACACGCTCACCAAACGATAAGCACACCTGCTCAAGAGCACCGACTCAGCGCTGCACACATGCAAGGCAAATGATAAGCACCCCCGCTCAAAAGCACATAGCATACCCGCTCAAGAGCGCGCGCTCCAAATGAGAAGCGCACATGCTCAAGAGCGCGCAACCGGCGTATCTTCATTTGCCGCTTGACTCCTAGAATCCATGACTGCCGAGGTTTAGCTGCAACTGATTCAAGTCATGCTTCACCATGTTGCAAGCAAACTCAAAACACCTTGGAATACACTGTCCACAAACTGCGAACATCCAAAATGCGCTGCCAGCGGATACTCACCCGATGCGTACTAAAATGTCCACTGGCAATTTTGGACGCTACTCAAGTGGATCCTATCGGTCGACCCTTCCCCACTCATTGGGAGTAGTGTTTCTCAATATACTTTTCCAAATAGCACTTTATAGCATGTTGCTGTCATTGAATCATACTTTGTTTTGCCAATGGTCTGCTCGTGGCAAGCCGTGCGATGTATCAAAATACCAATCCCTGCAACCAGCCACCCACATGCAGCCTCAGCTACAAAAAGACGGGATTCTGCTTGGACAGTCTGCTACTGGAGCTCTTGGTCGGATATCCCCGTAAATCATCTCACCGCGGTTTCCTCAAGCGTGTGCCGATTGCCACCCAAAGCAAACAGTTCGACCTATGGCGCGCTTGCTGCCCGAGCGCTGATGTCGTACTCTCCGCCGCCACGGGCCCGCAGCGCCACGTGGTGAGGCTTGGCCGTCCTAGAGTTGAAGGCAGCTTGGAAGGATTTGCCACAAACTGCGTCCTGCTTATATGCATCTATCAAATGGCAGGCAAAAGACACAACCCATGCAAGCCTCCCAACATTATTTAGTGGTGATGCACAAAGTGACCAGAGCCACATTTCAACATCCTCAGCAACAAAGGCTGATTCAAGAGGAGACTCCCGCCCGGCATGTGCGTTCCTCGTTCCTTCGATCCGCCGCACGTTAAACCCTCATGGCATCTAACTCGATGCAAATGAGTGCTGGTTTGGCTAATCTCGGGAAGCATCAACAGGAATCTGCCGCTGAGTAAAATTGAGTGACGCAGGCTCTAACTGATCACCCGCTTCATGCAACCCTCCGAGTTCTTCCTCCATCAAACGCCCAAGCTCGAGCTCTAAGCTATCTGGCATTGGTGACTCAGCTCTCACATCCGTCCAGAGCCTGCACGACGATGGGAGCTGTGGCTGTCTAACAGGGCATGCTTAGAATCGCTGACATCGGAGGCATCGCTGGCTTCATGGAGATCCTTCCCACAGCACCAGGCTGACTTGAACGAGAGGAAGCGCACATGCGCTCCAGCTCAATTTGCAGTCCGTCAAGCACCATTTCCGTCAAGCTGTGTTGACCTTGACTGGCGTGCCTGGGAGCCGGCCGGATTCTGTTTCGCTTCTTCACACTCCGCGCTTGTCGGGACGCGCCCATCGGCACTTCCCCGGCGGTAAGTTCTGCGATGAAGGTCTTCAAAGTCGCGCTCTTGAACTCGACATGCTTCAGCGCTCGCAAATCGGCAACAATGCTCTTCTCAATCTGCCCCTCATGGGTTCCATTCATTGCGGCATTGCGTACATCTCCCTGCATCCAGAAGAGCGCAAAACAAGTGTCCACATGCAAGCATGTTGTGTGGATGATCTCAGGTCTCGTTGTTCAGCCATTGCGAGTCTGGAAGCCATATCGAAAAATCGTCCCAACAAGTTGCACACCAGTTGTTTTGCTCAAGGTCCTTCCCTGAGAAGCCTGACGCGCAGCATTCCAGCCAAGATCCTTCCTCGGCAATCATAGCACATCTGTCGCTGGATGTCCCAGCCTTGCAATACTCGCAAGATGTCGAGCGGAGCACCTTCTCCGGGCATCGCAGTGCCAGATCATGGAGCCACTTTGGGGATGACACTTGGGCCAAACGCGTCAGCAAAACCCATATGCGGTCCTTGCGAAAAAACCTCTTCAAATATTCACGTCATCGTCATCCTCATCTTCAAAACGATCTAACCGCCTAGCGCACGGCCAGGCAAACCTGGAGGTACACATTGACACCAATTGTATGACATTGCCAAACAATTCTCCTATGACTCCCCCCAGAGCCACCTCTTGCCGAATGGCCAAAGCCCAATCACGGCCCCCTAAACTTAGGTTTCTCAAGGATTCAGCTGTGTAAGATGCACGCACTGGTTTGTCGTTCTGCGTCCATAGTACTTTCTATACTATGCTCGCGTCAGCCCCTACTTGGGTACGTCCGTGGAAGCTACCCATCTGATCCTGGTTTCAACAGCCTTCCTGCGGAAAATGGCAGACTTCGAGGGGTCTAGCTATTGATGCCATAAGCTACAAAAAGCCTAAGCAAGCCAAACCAAACCTCCCACCTAACCAACTTGAAACTGGAGAAAAATGGAAGCCTACGCACATTTCAAGCAGTGCGTGCAGCGCTTGCACATCCGTCTGACTTTGAATCTGATCCGAGGTGCGGCGGATGCACTGACGGCGCATTCGTCCCCAGGAAGCAGCGGGTCAGGGTGAAGGCCCCGAGGGCCAGCAGGCCGGACCTCGCAGCACGAGGCATGTTGGCCCAAGTCCACTTTGAACGTCTGAGATTTGGCCATGGGTCAAAAGCCAACCCGGAAACCCCCAGTGAACATCAACCAATCCCCACCAAAATTGGTTCTAAAATGGGTGGTGAATTCACCTACCCCAAAATGGTACCATTGCTTTTGAACCACAGCCATTTCAGTGAGAATCCTGGTTAGCATCAACGCTGTCAAGCTCGGTCGGCCTCGCGCGACATCCAAACTGTAAATGCTTCATGACGCAATGCGATCTTGTAGTAAAGCGAATTCTACGCATGACGTCAATCACAACAGAACACCATACAAGGCAATTGGAATGACCATCGCCAAACTTCGAAGAACTTCAAGTCTTCAGCGGACCTTTTCCTTGGACTCTGTCAAATGCAGTGATGCACAAACTCCAGGTGGTCCTTTGTTTATCCAGGGAAACAAAAACAAAAGGAAAGGAATCCCTGCCCTTTGGGGCGTCACCTTGGACCAGAAACCAGTGCTCCAGCGCCATTGCCCCCCGCACTGAACTGGCTTGGGCTTGAGGCCTTCCCGGTGCAACTTGCGAGTTGCATAGAGCCGAGTTGCACCAACAGGCGATTGGATGCGCGCGGCATGGCGAATACTTCGGCAAGGGCTTGAGCTGAAAAACTGCGGCGAACGTGCCAAAGGTACAGCTCATGCGCTTCACGAAACATGTTTAGCCACCTGTTCGACACGTTTCGACATGCTGCGCGAGCTCTGCTAGAAGCATTTTAGGGTCTAACAATGACAAGCGGCATCTAACTTCCCCTATTTGATGCAGGGCAACTCCATTCAGACTTGACATAACACACCTTGACTGCCTGCATGTGTTTTGTTCTCTCTGGTGTTTTGGATGAACAAATGTTCCATGCACGTTGGGAATGTAGACTGTCCCGCAAAGTCCCAACGCCAACCTGGAGAATCTGCCCGGGCGCCGGGCTGGTGAAGATGCCCTAGGATGCGATGGCTTGCTCCAATGGACAGCGGTTGTGCATGATGCCAAAAAACTGTTTCATGTGCCGTTCATGTCCAAAGGCACAAGCACCAAGAGAGGAGCTGCCTCTGCGGACATCGTTTGCTCTCAGGCGAAAGTTATTTGCCCATAATTTGGCAATTAAAGAACTAACATGGCTCACGGCTAAACAAGACCTATACCATGAGGCGCTCGGTGGGGGTAGTACCAGCACTCAGCTAGCAAAACTGTCATCATGCAAGGATACTGCGCAAAGGCCAGGGGTTAGGGGGAATAGGGCAAAGGCCACCCTTGGGCATCCCGAAAGTGCTTATCCCTAATCCCTGGTTCCTTTTCAACATCCTTGGAGAAAACAAAATGGGAGACATGAAACCTGAGGCCAAATTTGCAGAAACATTGTCGCGGGATCCCGAAGCCAGGTTCCAGGTAGACCCCTCCAGGAAAACCTGCCGGCCTGTTGATTGAACTTGGGAGGCTTGAAGATGACGTCAGCGTGGAGGTGGCTCGTCGTGGGCCTGCATAGCAAGCGGCTGCGATGTTGTTTGTGGCACCTATGGCCAGGGGCCTGTCCCCCCTACCTTTATGTCTCACCCACAATTGCGCAGTCCCGGAACCGGGATGAAATAGAAGCCCTGTCACATCATGGGGTTTCCCTGACTTTCCAGGCCGAACCCCAAAAAAACATCAGACTTGGATCAGCCAGTGAAGGACCAGGGAACAACAGGCAGCAACATAAAATGTCGAACGAAACATTAAAAGCAAGGAAGATGTCAGACTTTAGCAAGAGAGGGTGGATGACACCTAGCAAACAGGTGAGGGTTTGTGGACGAGGCGAGCCTAGAACCTCAAGGTGCACTTAGGACTCAGGATGTATTTCACCCCATGCACTTCATTATGTGACCTGTCAGATCCTTCCTTGCCAAGCCTTGGCCCCGCGTTGAACATACACCCTGGAGCGGCTGTTGCAGGTGTCACATCCACGCACGCAACGCCTTCCCCGATTCAAGCGCCTGCCCGATCGATGGCAAAAGCACGCACACACACACACGCACACACACACACACTTAAACTCCAAAAGGAGAGTGCTAATCTTTCGAGTACAACTGATGAGTCTCGAGTACAACTGATGAGTCTCGAGTATGGTGAGATTCGACTCGCACAACACGTGGCTTCCCTGTAGTTACTTTACAAGGGACACACAGAAGCAACGGCGGTTCAGGGAGGGGACCAAAAGGACATTCACAAACATCACAACGGCAGGTACGTCCAACGGCGTCCCGTTGGATTTCACCAGCAAAGAGGGGCGTCTTCATTGGCGCAGGTCCCTTCAATGCTGCCAGCGCCCCCTGCTGAGAAACCGAAAAGGTGGTGACAGGGCATTCTGTCACTCCGCACACACACGCCCCTCAATGAGGGGCGAGGAGTCTCCTTTTCTGCAGGAACCCCGGTGTCCCTATCGTTGACCAAAAAATCCACCGCGGCGAGGGGAGCGAGAAACAGCCCTAAACCGTTCAGAAGACGGGAACGAGAGGTCACCACGTTGAGCATTACGAGTGTCGCCATAGGGGACTGAAGCGAGTTGTGAAGCAGTCGAGCGATCACCATTAGAAAACGGAGTAGCATAGGCGAACGTCTCCTCAACTGGAATGGCATCGGAATTCCGAACTTCACCAAGAGATTGATCATGCGAATGATGAGTAGTGAAGGACTCCATTCGAGACAGAATGCGTTGGTATCCCTGATGCTGCCAGTCGCGGATGGTCCATGCCTGACCGCGCTCACCAGTGCGCCCATTGGGATCAGTCACCCGCTGCCATTCCCGAAAAGTTAAGGCATGTTGCACTGCTCCTAGCTTGAACCCAAACATGAACACCCAAAAGAACAAAGCAAGTCCGAAGCGGCCGCAGTTCTTTTTTGCAGAGCGTCTGCGACCTATGCTTGCAGAGCCTTGTATAAGGCAGTGCAGGGTGGGTGGGTGGGTTTCAAATGAAACTGCAAGTTTGGGTCAAGGCTAGGAGCAAAACGGCCACCGCGTAGTTCGATTCACAACATGCCCTAAACACAAGGGAAAAGAAACCCTAAGCGTTAAGGCATGTTGCACTGCTCCTAGCTTGAACCCAAACATGAACACCCAAAAGAACAACCGGGATTGCTGAAAGTACACTGCTTCCAGGGCACTGGTGCGCCTGGAACAAGAGGTGCGTTGACCCCCCCTTCAGTGTTTCAGGCAACCCCGGTATAAGCGAGCCAGCTAGGCCGCCGGCCTCATCACCCGCCCTTCAGAGTGGGGTTGTACCTGGCAGGGCAAATGTCCGCGTGATCATGCACGCTTGCGGCTGTGAGCAGCCTGTTGCTCAGGGCATGCACTCTTTTTGGTCAGAGCGGCTTGATGTAAGCGGCTAGCTGTTGTTCTGGCTGCCAGGGCGAAGACGGCCATTTGATCGCAATGCATGTTGGGATGCAAATAAGGCTGGCTAAGCAGTGCTGGAGGCAGCTGCCATGTGTTCCGGGCGCCAGGGCGCATCCATCGGACACAGGGGCTGAAGCGTATGCGACTTTCAGGGCGATGGCTGAATCGGGCCAACCGACCTCTGCTGAGATCGTCTGCCCAATCATTGCACCTTCCTGGAACGTGCGTTGGCTGCCCAGAAGGCTGTTAACTGCACGAAAAGTTGCAACGGCCAGGACGTGAACAACTTGTTAAGGCTTGCTTCTGTTGCGGAATTGTCCGTGCCTGAAGGCATGCTGAACGAGTAGTGCCCACCACCGATGTGGCTGTGGGTTGCTTGCAGTAGTGCTAACTGCGCCAGCGTCTCAAAGCATGCGATGTACCGCTGTGCAGGCTTGACAAGGCAAGGCCATACGGCCCGTATGTCCCGCATGTTCCAGGTTTCGGCAAACCAAACCACTTGGGAGGATGTGACTGCCCAGCCTATCCCTACCAAGTCGTCTTCGGCACACGCATCCGCTGCAGCCAGTGCTTGCAGCTGGTGTGGCCGCGCCAAGGGCTGAACGGGCGAGTGCTGAAAGCACAA